GGAGCCAGGCTGTACCCCTTGGAGGGAGAGCATCCAAATAAGTTACCCGGAATTCCTTTGTAAGAAAGATTTTATGCCAATGTGGACTCATGTACATTTTTTAAAAATTGATGTTGAGAGAGAGCAAAGGAGGGATGGAGGGAGGGAGGGAGAAAGGGAGGGAGGGAGGGAGGGAGGGAGGGAGGGAGAGAGAGAGAGAGAGAGAGAGAGAGAGAGAGAGAGAGAGAGAGAGAGAGAGAGAGAGGTGGGAGAGACACCGGGATGAGCCTGCAACCGAGGTACGTGCCCTTAACTAGGATTGAACGATTGAACCCGGGACCTTTCAGTCCCTGGGCCTGGGCTCTCTGTCCACTGAGCCACACCAGCGAGGGCTCAAAGGGGTGCTGAAAGGGTGCCGAGCCTCCAGGGGACACGATGAAATAGAGGAGCCTGCCAGGGCCCCAGAGGAGGGTCTGCTAAGCAGATGGGACAGGGGTCACTTCTAAATGTTTCCAGAAACATCAGCAGATGTGATTCTCTGAGCACCTGCTCCCAGGCACAGCCATTTGCTCACTTAATCCTCCCTACAATCAGGTGAGACAAACTGTCATTCCCCCGTTACAGGGGAGGAAACCGAGGCCAGGAGAGTGAAGGGACTTGTCTAAGATCGTGCAGTGAGAAATGGAGAGGCTAGGATTTGTTATTGTTGTTAATCCTCAGCCAACGATATTTTTCCATTGAGCTTGAGAGAGAGCAGAAGGGAGGGAGGAAGAGAGGAGGAGTGGGAATCCATGTGAGAGAGACACATGGATTGGTTGCCTCCTGCATATGGCCCAGATGGGGGCTGTGGATCAAACCTGTAACCCAGGTACGTGTCCCAGACCAGCCATCAAACCCATGACCCTCCCGTGCATGGGCCAACATTCTAACCGCTGAGCAGCACAGGCCAGAGCGAGAGGCTAGGATGTTAACCCAGCTCTGCTGAGCTTTTCCTGCCGCCGCAGCATGTGGCAATCCTTCCTCCCTGCCCCACGTGTGTCAGCAGGCCGCGTGACTGGCAGCGCTGCCTGGAACTGCAGTGAAGGAAGAGGAAGAAAAAGAAAATTATATACTGACAACAGTGACCCACCTGCAGCTTTCTGCAGCAGAGATAAATGTCACGAACAAAATACTGAGCAGAAAGAGCCAGATATGAAAGAATATCTGCTCTATGATTTCATATGGATAATGTTTCAAAGCAGGCTAAGTAAAGTTCAGAGTTTAGAAAGGCGTAGTTAGGTGATGACTCTATTAAAAAAAAAAAAAAAAAAAAAAAAAAAAAAAAAAAAGGTAAGGAAGTCATTGTTCTAAGAATCAAGACAGCAGTTACCTTGGTGGAGGGTTTTGGGTCAGGAAGAGGCCAGCGGAGGCTATATGGAGAGCTGGCAATGCTTTATTTTTTGACTTGATGCTCATTCTGTAATAAACTGTGTGTTTGTTTTATGAATGTTTATATATGCGTAATTCCTCACAATAAAAATGTTTTTAAGAATAAGTAAAAGAGTCAAGACCGGTTTGGCTCAGCAGCGTCGGCCTGCGGACTGAAAGGTCCCGGGTTCGATTCTGGTGAAGGGCATGTACCTTGGTTGCGGGCACATCCCCAGTAGGTACAGGAGGCAGCTGATCGATGTTTCTCTCTCATCCCCATGTTTCTGACTCTCCCTTTCACTTCCTCTCTGTAAGAAACAATAAAATAGCCGAAACCGGTTTGGCTCAGTGGTAGAGCGTCGGTCTGCGGACTGAAAGGTCCCGGGTTCGATTCCGGTCAAGGGCATGTACCTTGGTTGCGGGCACATCCCCAGTAGGGGGTGTGCAAGAGGCAGCTGATCGATGTTTCTCTCTCATCGATGTTTCTAACTCTCTATCCCTCTCAATTCCTCTCTGTGTAAAATCAATAAAATATATTTAAAAAAAAAAAAAAAGAAACAATAAAATATGTATTTTTTAAAAGAATAAGTAAAAGAAAAAATACAGGGAAACAAAGACTATAAAGACAGGCTTGGACAGAGCTGGCTCCAATCCTGGCTCCTCCACCCCTTGGGCAGCTGTGCGGCCTCCAGCAGGTCTTAGCCTCCCGGAGCCCAGGCCCCTCTGTCAGGGGAGGAAGGGAGCCGAGTCAGGGAACAGACAGTGTAAGGGCCGCGGGCACGCCCAGGGCCCAGCCTCAGCGTGAGGTCACGGCTCCCTGTGCCTCTGACGCCTCTCGGAGACCCGAGTCTCACGTGCTTGCTTCTGTTTTAGGAAAATGAGGTTCTGAGTTGGAACCGACCTTCCTGGCTGTTGCACAACATGCAAATAGAGGGACTGGGAAGCCCTGTCCACTTCGGCACCTGGGAGCCCAGCCTGGGGCTCCCGGCCAGAGGGCTGAGCGGGGCCTCCCCTCGCCCTGCAGCCCGGGGCCGGGCCCGTGTCTCTGCCCGCCCAGCTGGCTGGAGGCGCTGGAGGAGGACCAGGCCGGAGGGAGCCTGCGGAGAGCCTGGGTCTGAGATGTTTCCGGAGGATCCGGCCGCAGCCTGGAGCCACTGATCTCTCTCTGTGGCTCAGAGTCCCGGTTTCCCGGGCAGCCCAGGGCGGACGGCCCGCTCAGGGCCCCGGCCTCTGCCTTTGGGGCGGCTGCAGCGGGTCCTCCTGGCCCTCAGGAGGGAGGCCAGGGCTCCGCGTCCCTCCGAGAGATCGGGGCCCCGCAGCACTGACTGTCCCGGCGGGAGACGTGTGAAAAGCCAATGCTGCCTGCACTGCTGTTCTTTCTCAGGACCAGGCCCTCCCCCGGGGCGCCGCGGGCTGGAAGGCGGCCTGCTGTCTCCTGTTTTCTAGGTTTTCTGTGTCTCAGGTCATGGGAGCAGCTCCTTGCCGAGGACCAGACCATGTGGAGTCTGGAGGGCTGCTCCCTCCTGCAGTGGTCCCTGGTGAGGGAGGTCACACTGTCCTCCGGGAGGCCAGCCTCCGGCTGAGAAGCTGGGAGGACTGGCGTGCTCTGGTGTGAAGGGAGGGACTGGCGTGCTCTGGTGTGAAGGGAGGGACTGGCGTGCTCTGGTGTGATGGGAGGGACTGGCGTGTTTTGGTGTGATGGGGAGGGGGTGTGTTCTGGTGTGAAGGGGAGGGGGTGCTCTGGTGTGATGGGAGGGACTGGCGTGTTTTGGTGTGATGGGGAGGGGGTGTGTTCTGGTGTGAAGGGGAGGGGGTGCTCTGGTGTGATGGGAGGGACTGGCGTGCTCTGGTGCAATGGGGAGGGGTGTGCTCTGGTGTGATGGGGAGGGGGTGTGTTCTGGTGTGATGGGGAGGGGGTGCTCTGGTGTGAAGAGGAGGGGGGCTCTGGTGTGAAGGGGAGGGTGCTCTGGTGTGATGGGGGGTGCTCTGGTGTGATGGGGAGGGGGTGTGCTCTGGTGTGATGGGGAGGGGTGTTCTGGTGTGAAGGGGTGTGCTCTGGTGTGATGGGGAGGGGGTGCTCTGGTGTGAACGGGAGGGGGTGCTCTGGTGTGAAGGGGAGGGGTGCTCTGGTGTGATGGGGAGGGGTGCTCTGGTGTGATGGGGAGGGGGTGTGTTCTGGTGTGATGGGGAGGGGGTGCCCTGGTGTGATGGGGAGGGGTGCTCTGGTGTGAAGGGGAGGGGGGCTCTGGTGTGATGGGGAGGGGGTGCCCTGGTGTGATGGGGAGGGAGTTCCCCTGGTGTGATGGGGAGGGAGCATCAAGCCTCCTTGCTTCCTTGTCCTTGTGAAGCAGGAGCAGATAAAGGGCCTTCGGGTTGGGAGGAGGGTGAGAAGCTGTGGCAGAGGGGGAGGGGCAGGGATGGGAGCAGAGAGGAGAGAAGGGGAGGGGGAGGGAGGAAAAGAGGAAGGAGAGGGTAGAGAAAACCGGGGGCGGGGACCCAGGGCTTCTGGGAAGGCACAGGGGATGCTGTGGGAAGGAGGGCCCAGGACACCTTGTTGAGATCCGAGATCCGCAGGGGTGGCCGGGGAGTGTGGTCCGGAGCTGCTCAGCCTGGGACCGGCCAGGTCCCCAGGGTCAGGCTGAGGGCAGCGGACCCAGAACACAGAGTGAAACCTTTGACCTGCGGCCTGAGGAAGTGGTTTGAGCCCAGAGATAATTTTTACCCCTGAGCCTCCTAACTGGGAGGAAGCCAAACTGTGAGAAAAGCGACTGCAGCCACCGCCGCCACCTGGCCGGCGGAGAGGAAGGGGCCGTGCTGGGCGGGTGATGGTGAAATCCGTCTTCGAGTCCAAACACTGCACATCCTCCGTGCAGCTTCCGGGCTTGGCGGAGTGGCTGCAGCCTTTCAGCAGAGGTTTAATGAAAAGTTCTCTCTCTCTGAAAATATAAAACTCAGAGTTTACCATCCGATCCAGCAACCCCACTTCTAGATACATATTCAAAAGAATTGCCAAAACCGGTGTGGCTCAGTGGATAGAGCATCAGCCTGAGGACTGAAGGGTCCCAGGTTTGATTCCGGTCAAGGGCATGTACCTTGGTTGCGGGCACATCCCCGGTGGGGGGTGTGCAGGAGGCAGCTGATGGATGTTTCTCTCTCATCGATGTTTCTAGCTCTCTCTCCCTCTCCCTCCCTCTCTGTAAAAACACCGATAAAATGCATTATAAAATGAAAAGCCTTGGAGGGTGGGGCGAGTTCGGCTGCACCAACGCCGGTACTTTAGGCGTGGGCCGGCGTGCCCTTGGACTTAGAGAGCGGGACGTTGCGAGTGGGGAGCCTCCGTGTGGCGCGGACTAACGAGCGATTTAAAAATGGGTGATGTTGAGCCGGGACCGGTTTGGCTCAATGGATAGAGCGTCGGCTTGGGGACTGAAAGGTCCCAGGTTCGATTCCGGTCAAGGGGCATGTACCTTGGTTGCGGGCATATCCCCGGTGGGGGGCGTGCAGGAGGCAGCTGATCGATGTTTCTCTCTCATTGATGTTTCTGACTCTCTATCTCTCTCCCTTCCTCTCTGTACAAAATCAATAAAATATATTTTAAACTAAAAAAAAAAAAAATGGGTGATGTTGAGAAGGGCAAGAAGATTTTTGTTCAGAAGTGCGCCCAGTGCCGTACTGTGGAAAAGGGAGGCAAGCACAAGACCGGGCCAAACCTCCATGGTCTCTTTGGGCGAAAGACAGGTCAGGCCCCTGGATTTTCTTACCCGGATGCCAACAAGAACAAAGGTATCACCTGGGGCGAGGCTACTCTGATGGAGTATTTGGAGAATCCCAAGAAGTACATCCCCGGGACCAAAATGATCTTCGCCGGCATGAAGAAGAGTGCAGAGCGGGCAGACTTGATAGCTTATCTCAAAAAAGCTGCTAATGAGTAATAGTTGGCCACTGCCTTATTGATTACAAATGTCTCACGACTTTTTTTATGGGTACCATATTTAAGTTGATCTCATACACCAGAATTCAGATCATGAATGGCTAAGAGAGCATTTCTTTTGGGCAGTCCTGATTTAAATAAGATTGGCTTGTGGTGAGATGAATATGGTTGGACTTGATTCCTCATGTTCAACTTTTCACAGTCTCAAAACCTGTAGGAAACTGGCTTATATTTAGGTTTATATGATTGGTTGTATTAATATGTTTGAATTCTGAGGAAATCCCTTCACTGTCTCTTAGACCTGCAAGACTTGCTCGTGTTTCAAGTTGTGTTTATTATCCTGTTAAAAGGAAGGGATTTAAGCTGGCACATAAGCTGGCAGTGACCATTTCATCTTTTTTGGTCCCAACTATGCCAATTTAATAAAATTCCCTGTATCTAAACTGTTGCCTTTTACTAAATGAAAGGCATTTTAGTGTGGTTTCTGTATGATATCAAATAAAGAGTATTTAACACTTAAAAAAAAAAAGCCATTCGTAAATTATTATTTTTTTTTAAAGAAAGAATTGAAGGCACCATCCTGAAGAAATATCTGTGCACCCGTGTTCGTAGCCTCGTTGCTTACACACCCAGGAGGAGGGAGGAGCCGGTGTCCACCGACACGCGGACGGATAAACAAAACGTGACACATTCTCACCATGAGACAGAATTCGGCCTCAGACAGGAAGGAGAGCCGAACTCCTGCCGCCACATGGATGACGCCGGCGGGCGTTATGCTCCATGAAAGAAGCTGAAGGACAAGTCCTGTGTGATCCCACCCTACGAGCCACCTCGAGTGTCACGTCACAGACGACAGAGAAGGACGGCTGCCAGGAGCCGGGAGGAGGGAGCACGGGGACTGGGTCTGAGGTGCGCGATGAAAGGAGCAGAACAATGCCACCGTACACACACTGCCGAACGGCACACCTAACAGGGGTCAGACGGTAAGTGTTCCGTTATGTGTATTTGGTCATAATCTTTCAAAAAGCTACCTCAGCCTGTTCCTAATATCCAATGCACAGGAGTGGTTATTCGAATCGATCGGACTGGCAGTGAGGTCCAGATTGTCAACAGTGCTCCCCCCAAATCTGGAAGCAAGTCTGTGCAGCAGCATGTTTGCTGTTGGGAGTCCCATGTCATTCTCACTCCAGACCCCGGGGCATGGTTCGTCCCATGCTCAGCTCTCTGCAGGGCTCCCGTTCTCGCTTCTGGACACACGTAGATCTTTTAAATGTGGGGCACGGGGGTGGGGGGCACGCTTCTCCGTTCTGGAAACTTTCTCTTTCAGGAACTCCTTTTAGTTGTATGTTGTGCCTTCTGGATCCATACTCCATTCCCCTCCCTATCTGTTCTACTTTCTAGGACAGTGTTTCCCAAACTTTTGACATACGTGTACCCCTTCTATAATTTTCGTGACGCTGAGTACCCCTTGTACTCACGAGAACATAGAATTAGGCGCAGTTAAGCACGGTGCAGTGCATATCCCCACCCAACTCTTCCTGTACCCCTGGGGGTGCGCGTACCACACTCTGGGAAACACTGTTCTAGGAGATTTCACAGGCCTCATCTTCTAAGCATTTTACCAGTTTTAATTTCATTATTAGCAATTTTATTTTTCAAGTGTATACACACACACACACACACATACACACACACACACATACACACACACATACACACACACACACACGCACACACACACATATTTGTATTGATTTCAGAGAGGAAAGAGAGATAGAAACATCAGTGAATAGAGAAAATCATCTGCCTCCTGCATGCCCCACACAGGGGATGGAGTCTGCAACCTGGGCATGTGTCCTGACTGGGACTTGAGCCATGACCTCCTGGTTCATAGGTGCCCCGGCCAGCGGGACAGCAACGTGGGAGCGAGGAGACACCTGGAAGGGAATGAGGGAGGACAGGAGACGCGGAGAAATGGAGGCAAGACGGGGTTCTGATCAAGCCTCGTTTATTGCAGGGTGTGAGGATGTAGATATAGTCAGGGAGAATGAGGGAGTTTCTCCAAGGACATCAGCGGGTATCTAAGCAACTAAACCGTAAATGTCAAGAAGAGTTTATCTTCAGCAGAGAACATTCTGTTGCGCAGCTGTGTCCCCACCGCAGGATGTTTGATAAGCAAAGCTTGAGTAATAGCCGTCATGGGTTGTGGAAACAATGTATCTTAGGCCATTCAGGTGCGTGCCTGGGAGTACCGTTTCCCACGGGGCATGAGTTCTGGTAGGTCAGAAACTCAGTGTCTAAGATGGAGGTGTCTTAAGATGGAGTCACTAATGCCAATTCTTAGTGCACGAATTCATGCAATGAGCCTCTCTCACCCTCTCACGTGTACCCCTTCTATAATTTTCGTAACGCTGAGTACCCCTCGTACTCACGAGAACGTAGAATTAGGCACAGCTAAGCACGGTGCAGTGCATATCCCCACCCAACTCCGGTGCAACGCGTACCCCCACCAACCTCTTCCCGTGCCCCTGGGGGTGCGCGGACCACACTCTGGGAAACACTATTCTAGGAGATTTCACAGACCTCATCTTCTAAGCATTCCATTCTTTTTTTTTTTTTTTTTTTTTAAATAAGTTTTTATTGTTCATATTATTACAAATGTTCCTCCCCCCCCCCCACTATTGCTCTCCTCCACCAGGTTCCCACCCCACCCTCTGCCCTTTCCCCACTCCCCATTGTCCTCATCCATAGGTGCACAGTTTATGTTCAGTCTCTTCCCACACCCCCCTCTCCCCTTTTCCCCAAGAATCGTCAGTTCACTCCCCTTCCATACCTCTGATTCTATTATATTCAACAGTTACTATTGTTCATCAGATTTTTTTTTTTAATTTCCTTGGTTTTTAGATTCACTTGTTGATAGTTACGTATTTGTTGTTCATAATTTTTATCTTTGTTTACTTTCTCTTCTGAAAGAACTCCCTTCAGCAACTCATATAAGTCTGGTTTGGTGTTGATGAACTCCTTTAGCTTTTTTTTATTAGTGAAGCTCTTTATCTGACCTTCGATTCTGAGTGATAGCTTTGCTGGATAGATTATCTTTGGCTGTAGGTTCTTACTATTCATCACCTTGAATATTTCTTGCCATTCCCGTCTGGCCTGCATGGTTTCTGTTGAGAAGTCAGCTGACAATCGTATAGGTGATCCTTTATAGGTAACTACCTTCTTTGCTCTTGCTTCTTTTAATATTCTCTCTTTGTCTTTTGCTCTTGGAATTTTAATTATGATTTGTCTTGGTGTGGTCCTCTTTGGATTCCTTTTGTTTGGAGTTCTGTGCGCTTCCTGGACTTGTAAGTCTAATTCTTTCCCCAGGTGGGGGAAGTTTTCTGTCACTATTTCTTTCAGTATGTTTTCGATATCTTGCTCTCTTTGATCTTCTGGGACCCCCATAATTCTGATGTTGTTTCGCTTGAAGTTGTCCCAGAGGTTTCTTACATTATCTTCAATTTTCTGGATTCTCTTGCCTTCTAGCTTCTGTGAAGGAGTGTCTTCTGGCTCTTTATGTTCCAAATCTTTGACTTGATTCTTGCGATTTTCCCTTCTGTTTTTAGGACTCTGTAAAATATTTTTTATTTCAGACAATGTATTCTTTATTTCTTGTTGTTCCCTTATCATTTCTTGTTGACTCCTTATTAATTCTAGTTGATCTCTTTTCATATCCTCATAGGTCTTATCCATCTTTTCTAGGAAATTCTTGAAAAACCTTATAAGCGTAGATTTGAACTCTATATCCAGCCGCTTTTTGTCCTCCATTTCTTTCGTTTGTGATCTATTTCATTGTTGCATTTCGCAGTTACAGATGGGGCGGGGTTTCAGGATGGAGCCTGCAGCTTTGGCTTCCGTCAGCCCCGCCCTATGCGGGTCCTTCAGTGCTCCCTGCCGGCTCCTCTGAGAGAAAGGTGCCCTTGATTTTCGCCTGCTGCCAAACAGTCAATGCTCTCCCCCAATGAGCCCGGTATTGGGGTTCAGTTCAGTTGGAAGTGGAGTTGGAGGTGGCGTTCAGAGCAGACTGGAGCCCCAGTCTCCTTCCCTCCAGGCAATCCCGCAGCACAGCCGGCCATCCCTTCTCTGAGCGCCCTGTGCGCTGCCGCCGGGACCCCCTTTCGCCGCTTCCCCGGGTTCCGCCTCGCAGCCCGGCTCCCTCTGTGTGAGCCTGAGTCCCCGGGGTCTGGCCTAGGCCTGGGGTTCAGAGCAGTCGGGGGCCCAGCACAGTCGGAGTTTTATCTCCTTCCCCGCTGGGGAACGCCCGCCAGGCACTCCGCCTCCCTTCTCTCCAGCTCCGTCCTCTCCGCGCGCGCCGCGTGTCTCCGTACCTTGGGCTTTTCCAGCTCTTCCGCGCTTCCTTCTGGTTTTTTCCTTGCTTCTCGTTGTAGAATTTCCAGTCAGTCAACTTTCCTGTAGTTCTGGATAATGTCCGTTTTATATTTTAGTTGTACTTTATTGAAATTGTTGTGTGAGGCTGCAGCTAGGTATTCACCTGGGCGCAGCCATCTTGGAGGACCTCCTAAGCATTCCATTCTTTTTTGGCTCCCAACACATAGGTCTATGCTCAACCACCGAGCCACGCAGGCTGGGTTCAAATTATGCACTTCCTTACATTTTCCAGTTTGTGAAAGAATGTGATGAAGGATACAGATGGACACCCGGGGAAGAGGCCCCTCGGTGAGGTGGCGAGGGTCCTGAGTGTAGGAGCTTCTTTCCCGGAGCTCGGTGTGTCACCCTCACGGTATGTGGGTGTGGTTGCCCACCTGAAGGTCTTCGAAGCCTGGACCATTGGGAGTTTATGGAGGCTTCCTCACATAGGCATGGCCAATTATTAACGCCATTCCAGTCCCTGTCCCCTCTCTGGAGAAGTGGGGATGGGAAAGTTGGGGGTGGGGGAGAGGGAGCTGAAGATTCCAAGCTTCTGATCCTGGCTTGATGAGTCCCCATCCAGGAGTTCAC